TATCACCTTGTAGTATTATGAGTACCAGATGTATCATTTTCCATTTCACTTCCTCCATAGGCACTAGGTCTTACAGTGTAGTGAAATGAGACTGGCCTTGTCATGGCTTGTTTCAGGAGTACACAGCTCCCAAAGACTACAACAAAGAGCTGACTTGATGAATATACCGTATATGATTAGTTTATGTACTAGCCAACAGGTGCAAGTGTCAGGATGTCTCTCAAGACCACAGTGCTAAGGTCTGTGAGGTAATCCTCTACACATGCTGATTTATATGAATATGCAATTGATACTATAGCAAATAATAATCTGTTAAGGATATTACACATTCTCAGTACTGCACAACATCCCAAGACCTAAACATATATTTTTTGAGAAATGAACTGATGACTTATCTAAAGTACCACTATCAGTTAAAATATTCAAGAAAATAAAATGTTTATATTTTAACCTTTGATCACTGAATCTAAGAATTTTATTTTTATAATTAGCTATATAACTTACGTTAAAAATACCATAAGCAATTGTATGAGAATATATTAATTAATGATGTCTTAGTGTAATACTCTAGTATAATTTTAGTTATATTATACAATAACTGCTCCAACACACTTTTGTACTCAGCAATTATTTTAAATATAATTTGCAATTTTCTTGTAAAGTGTGTAATATTCCATCCATATAATGACATGTATGATAGAGCTTTGAGATTATTTTAGTACAATGTTATACATTGTGACTTCCACTGTTAGTAAAGGTACACCTTTGTGCCACTTTTGAAAAACACAATTACAAATTAGAACCAAAAGCTTCTAGTGTGGAGGTTTATTTGAATTCTCTGGTCAAGGAAGAAAGGTTAACTTCAACCTAAAAAGAGAAAAATTTGATTGAAAACAGCTTTCATGAAGCAATGTAAGAAAAAGAGTATTTTAAACAGTTTATTCTTTTCTCTCTGATTTTACCTTTCACTTTTGTTAACTTTCAATACTTCACCTGTAAAATGTGATCCAGAAAGGGTGTCTTCTTCAGACTATTAAAACTATTCACTTAGAACTCCAGCAGCAGTTCAAAACTACTTTATGTTTACTTACAGTTTTCCTCACAACTGGGAGGAAGTTCCACCTCTTCTCTCATTAATTAAGATTATTTCCTCATTCCTTTCTCAATTCTCTCATGAAACTACTGCAGTGATTTAAAGGAATTTTTACAATGGCTATCTGAGAGCACTTTCCATATCATTATTAATTCATTAAGGTTGGACTTTCATTTTCTGTAGTTTTGTATTTAGTAATATACTGTCAAGAACAATGAATTGACCAATTAAACCAATGCCAAATAAAACAAATTTCTTCAACAGATAATTGTAAATTTGAAATCTTACAATATCCAATGTAATCTTACAATTGAATGTACTATTCTGTGTTGTTATATACCATATGTACATTTAAAGAGGTTTTTTTCAATTAGAGAACACTTGAGAATATTTTTTATACTTCAAGTCATTCCATATTATGATGAATGTATATTTTGTTCCATACAGCAAATCCTAAAATTGTATATTGTTATAAGTGATGCTTGTAATACTAAAGAAAAAATACAATTCACGTTACATCAGGATTTGACAAGTGATAAAACACAGCAAGTGGAAACTAAGAATACAGTAGTTCTCATATATATTTTGATATACTGTACAATATGCAAAGACAGTCTTGTATTTTAAACTATATCATTGTTTCTCCAAGAACACTGGAAATAGCATTTTAATTTTAAGCATACATATACAGTATGTTTACACTGTATGTTCTTTGATCTGTTTATAAGTTAAAAGTTAAGTTTAAAAATAAATGGGACATTTTGAAAAATGAAAGAAATGTAAATTCTACCCAGATTTAGACTGAATCTGGTTGTCTCTGGAGCTGTTGATAGTTTACAAAACCTCTATCTTTAACAGCCACTGGTAGCTGAAATTTGATTGATTTTACCTATCATTATACTACAATTACCATACTCTCTTAAAATATCCTGCATTCTTTGGATGAGATCACAGGTTTTAAAAGAGGTACTCTTAGTGTATGATTATAGGCTTTCTTGACATGCACAAAATGGTCATTTTTCATTGCAGCAGGAAAAATGAGTAGCAGTGCAACAACAAACTAAGAATGGAGCCATCAGTTATAACTAGTTAACACTAAGATTCCCTTAAATATTTCTGGTTGTGATTATTTTTAAATTGTTTATTAATCAGATAAATATATTAATATTTAAATGTAGTAATGGTTATTAAATATTATAGATGTGCACCCATGCTAAGAATGCAAATTGCACAGAAAAAAACATTAAAATTATGACAATCATTCTGATTCATAATAGATTTCTTTGTTTTCTTCAGCTTTAACAATAAAACTTAACATTACAAAGAAACACATTCCTTTTTAATGGCAATAATCACCAGTACAAAAACTGACAATTGTTTTTGTCCTCAAAGACATATTTTATCTTTTGGGTTCCTGAGCATTACTTCAGTTTTATCCTTCTTCAGATCCAGTCCTGCACTACTAGGCTGAAATCTAAGGACCAACTGGGCTGTGAACCAAGAATGTGTGTGTTGCCATTCCAATGTCAAAACACTTAATCAAACTAAGTCTATTCCTTGTTGAATTCAGAGAACAAAGCTACTTTACCAATAATAGGCTTTCCATTTTCACCTTTTGATTTGATTAAACCACCAAATGTCTTGTTTTAAAACAGCATATACTTCATAAGGAAAATACAGAGTACATTCACTATAAAATCTACAGTATACATACTGTAAACCTAGTATAGATCCTGAAGTGCATGCAAGGAATAGAAAGCAGAGATAAGTGCCCTCTGAACCCCGGATGAAGTGCAATGTACAAGAAAGTCGTTTAATATATGACTAAATGTCAGAAGTCAGGTTTCTTAGAATTACTTCTCAGATAAACAACTTTATAGCAGTGCACTTAATCTTGCTTAGACAGTCTCGTTTAATCACTGAATTAGTTAACTTTAATTCTATTGATATTGCCATAAAGAGTGTTAAAAATGAAGAAGGCATTTTAAAATGACTATGTTTCTTCTTGTTTTAATGAATCTAACGTAAACCGTGTTTTTTATATTCTCTCAATTTTAAATAAAAAGAATTGACAACAATTGTGATTTATATATGATAGGACTTACGATTGCTGCGACATCCTATTGTATTTCCATGGCTTTTAAGGTGAATTAATTTAAAAACCTTCTTCTGTTTTCAAATATCCAGAAGTTACAGGTACGTTTGTGGTAAATATATTGCCCTACGAGCAAATTGGTTGCCCACCTCTCATTTTCATTCTTACCAGATTCACAGGCCGAACACTGGAAAATATTTGTTTCCATATGAAGAAAGTTTCGTACTAGGACCCCCGTTAATATTACCATGATCAATTACCAGATATGTCCATTTTTAATGTTAAGTACATAAAATTACAAAGCAGTTCAGGTGGGTAGCTGCGTCAGCATGTGTAAGCTGCAAAGGAACAAGTAATAGGTTTATTCCATGCTGAAAAAAAGAAGAAAGAAAACACAACGTTTCGGCCGTGGAGCCTTTTTCAGGTGTGCCACACACCTGAAGAAAATTACAAAGTAGTTAGAATAGTTGATGTTAACTCACACATTCAGCTTCTATACTACATAGTTGCAAGGCAATAGTACTTTATCAAACTGTTATATTGATTAATTGTACTTCTTAGATTTATGGTATATTATTGGTATATTGTCATCCTATAATAAAAACAATTCCTTGTAATTCTTCTTGTGCATCTTTGTCGCTCTACAAACCAGTTTAATAAGTGTACAAAATATTTTTATACATTTCTTCTTAAAGGAATGCCTTGGTCTAAGTTATTATGCAATATGTGTTATATTAATGCTGTGTGTAACACATTTAATGAGTGAAAACATTTAATACTTACGATTGAAAATGAATGTAAAATATTTAACATAAAAACTAATACTGCTTAACCAAGACACGTTTCATTTCCTGCAACTCTTATTCCAAAAGGTGGCAGTGTTGAGTTTCCAAATGTAAAGCTCTGATTGTTTCAACTATTTCTCCTCTTGTGCACCTCTTACCTTTTGTCAAACTTGGCGGTGCATGGAATCATACGAATGCTGGGTGTTCAGCGAAAATTAATTTAAAGTTTTACCGCGAAATTAAAACATAAGTATTAGAGTTATGTAAGTTTGTAGTGAAAAGCAAACTTATAAAGGCATTTGTCTGTAAAAATATGTTATTTGTTAGCTATATAATGCATTGTTAGTTATAAAACATACAGTAAAGCAGGGAAAAAAAATGACACGCAGACAAGACCTATCCCAGTTTCGATTCGGAAGCACTCAAAAACTACAGCAGTAATAAAGTAACTTTTGTTTTGTTAAAACAAAAGTCTCATGTTATGAACACGGGAGAGGTGCAATATGCCAAACTTTCACCGTTTTTTAAGGCAACCCCCCCCCCACACACACACACAAACAAGTCAAACACAACAAACAAATATGCTCAAATGTTTAACGTTTAGGAAGAGACAGTCTGTCGGGCATTCTCTGAAACTCCGGGGAACATTGCTGAATTTCTGTGTCACCATGCTTCAGTATTCGATGCTTTCTAACTTATTGCTCCGTCTCTTGGCTTTTGGTATAATTACCGATTCCGCCATAAAATCAAATGCATTTGACGTATTTTAACTCATTTTAAAAGAGGTAATCCGCAAATTATAGCAGAGAAACGGCATTCAACAACAAATGACCATCTGACCTAAAACTGACACGAAAGAGTTAAAAGTTTGAGTCCCAGCTGACAGTCAGCTGATAGTCCCTGACAGTTGAGAAAAGTTTTGTTTCTACACTATTATGTTAATTAGCTTTCAGATTCAGAGAGCCGATTGGCTCCGAGTCTGAGTCAATTTCCCATTACACCTGACGTCAGGGCAGCTATAAAACTCAGCAATGCTTTTAAACTCATCTGCTGGGTGATCCTTTAAAAAATTCTCCAACAAGCCCGGGGAATATTTTTTCTACAAGACTACAGTTTACCTCTCACTTGCACCCTTCTACCTTCGCCACTTTACAATTTATTTTTGAAGAAGTCATGAACTGTTAAATGGTTGAAATAAGAGGCTGTTGTTACACTGCTATCACATGCAAAGAAAGGAAGAAAGAGAAACACGCACTGCTCTGATGCGTCTGTGCAATAGACTCTGCAAAGGAAAACTATATATTTTTTAGTCTTTGCTGCAAATTGAAAGCCCTTTTCTTGGTAAAAATAAATAAATAAATAAATCAAGCTGGCTCACACTCTTTCAAACCAGAACAGTTTGACAGCTGCTCTTCACCCCCTTTGGAGGACTGTCAACAGCAAAAGGATGGCATCAGAACTGGCAATGAGCAACTCCGACCTGCCCACCAGTCCCCTGGCCATGGAATATGTTAATGACTTCGATCTGATGAAGTTTGAAGTGAAAAAGGAGCCGGTGGAGCCCGATCGCAGCATCAGCCAGTGCAGCCGCCTGATCGCCGGGGGATCCCTGTCTTCCACCCCGATGAGCACGCCTTGCAGCTCGGTACCTCCTTCTCCCAGCTTCTCGGCGCCCAGCCCGGGCTCCGGGAGCGACCAGAAGGCACACTTGGAGGATTTCTACTGGATGACCGGCTACCAACAACAGTTAAACCCGGAGGCTTTGGGTTTCAGCCCCGAAGACGCCGTAGAGGCGCTGATCAACAGCAGTCATCAGCTTCAGAGCTTCGATGGCTATGCTAGAGGGCAGCAGTTTGCCGGCGCAGCCGGATCAGGAGGCACCATGGCCGGGGAAGAGATGGGATCGGCAGCCGCTGTGGTGTCCGCAGTTATCGCGGCAGCCGCAGCCCAGAACGGGGGTCCCCATCACCATCACCACCATCACCACGCCGGGGGACATCACCAAGCACCCGGGGTCGCCTCCAACGTTAACTCAGGAGGAAACCACCAGCACATGCATTTGGAAGACAGGTTTTCGGACGAGCAGCTGGTGACCATGTCAGTGAGAGAGCTCAATAGGCAGCTACGGGGGGTCAGCAAAGAAGAAGTGATCAGGCTTAAACAAAAGAGGAGGACCCTCAAAAACAGAGGCTATGCTCAATCCTGTCGCTACAAGAGGGTCCAGCAAAGGCACGTCCTGGAAGGCGAGAAGACCCAGCTCATGCAGCAAGTTGAACATCTCAAACAAGAGATCTCCAGGCTGGTCCGGGAGAGGGATGCCTACAAGGAAAAATACGAGAAGCTTATCAGCAATGGCTTCAGAGAAAACGGCTCCAGCAGTGACAACCCTTCCTCTCCAGAATTTTTCATGTGAGTCTCAGCATAAAAAACGAAAATCAAGCTTGTCAACCCCTTCATAAAAGTTCTCCATGTGAATTATTTTTTGTCTGGGGCTTGCTAGACCAAGAAACAAGTTTGCCAACTTTTTTATTTTCTTTTTTGTCATTTTTTAATTTGATTTTTTATGAGAATTGGGGTTTGCTCAAGCTTGTCAACTTACGTGAGTTTTTTGGGGGCTTGCAATAGAAAGATTGAACTTGTCGTCGAAATATGTCCTTCATTTTGGAGCTCGCTCTTTGAAACCTGCCATCAGCTTCGTGTTTATTATAATTATTATTGTTTTTCTTTTGTTTAGCTCATGTGATTTTTTGGCTTGCTGTGTTTTTTTCTAGATCTATCATCGTTGTATTTTTTAAAGCAGTTATAAACTTACAATGTTATATATATATACACTGTAGTACTGTATCTATATATAACATTGAAGTTCAACAGCTGAGATCTTTTTGACGTTGTTAAGCTTAGAATCTAAAAAAAAAAACCATCACCTGCCAAAAACCAACTGCAGCTACCTTCAGTTTTCATGTGAGATTTGGCTTTTTTACCAAACATGAAATGCCAAACATGAAAGACTCTGAGCCTGCCATTTTTACCCCATTCTCATCTCATGCATTATTATGCTTGCTATTTTGTTTTTAGCAACAAAACTGTAACTGTTTTGAAACAAATATTAAAAAGAGACAATATATTAATAAACAACCCTGCATGCTGGACATGTACGGTATTTTTTTCTTCTTTTTTTGTGCTTGAAAATGAACTTTCCTGGATGACTTTAACGGCATGGCATTCATAACTTTCTTTTATTGCCTCATCACTTTTTTGAGTTTGCAACAAAAAAGTGCGAGGGACATCCTCTCCCACCCTTCCCATGAAATCGCATCTGCTAATCTAGACTGCTTGATTTTGAGTTGTACGACATCGTCAGACTCTCATTTTTTATACAATTAATGCACTGAAGCATTCCCGTTTGAAGTTGTCAGGTTGGATTCCATGTTATGAGGGGGAATAAGGACTTCGAAAATTCTAAAAGGAATCAATCCCTCTTTGGGACTAAAACTGTTTATTGCTTAAAGCAGTTTGTTTTATTTAATAATTACCCCCATCCTTATGCATTTGGTAACTCTGGAATGCTATGGGTTCCTAGTACGTAATTTAAGTATATAGTTTTATAATCTGTAAGCCCTAAAGTTAATAAGGTTGTGCTACAGGTTGTTCTTAAAAAGGAATGTTGTAGATAAATTAGGTTTACTTAGATGTAGGTTTTATAAGGTCTGATGCACTAAAATGTCTTTTTCTGTTGTTGATGTAAGGGGGGAGGGGCGGGGGGTTCTAAATTTGTCAAATAAAATGGGATTGTTTTAATACGAAAACAGCTTTATTTGCAGCATGTGCTTGCAATTAAACCAAGTTGGATAAATGTAGCCCCTGTAATACCACTGACTGTATTTTTAAACCAAAGTATTAAATCAGGAGGGGACTCCTGTTTCACACAACGGAGATTATACATTGGACAATGTATTCTTCTCAAGGAATTGAAGTATTTTGGACTGAATTGCACTAGAATAGAACATACAAGCATGTGTAACAAAATGCAGAACTGTTTAGAACGCTAATAAGAATGCAAACAGACATGCAGTTATTTCTGGCAATACTGCAGAATTTTAAATGATGCAATTTTAACAGTTGTATTATTATGCAGAACTAGTTGTTCTTAAACAGAATTGATCATTTCCAAGGCAATAAAATTAATAATTATAATAATCAGTAATGTCAGGACATTTATAAACCGTCAGGGATTGATACCCTGCATGTGCAAAATAGGGGAAGAATCCATTCTACAATAAATTAAAATGTCAATTAAAAATCTTTTCTTTTTATATATTTTGCTGTGCAAAATTATTTTATTCTTCCGACATACTAACCATATGTGATGTTCATATATGTGCTTATTTTCATTTTTTGTTTCTGGATACAAATAATTGAAACGATATTTGCAATAAATAAAACATTGCAATTTGGATTTTATCCACTTTTTCAGTCTTCTCAGCATAAAATGTTGTTAACCCTTTATTAATTCCGATATTCTGTTTTATTGTAGTTTAGCATGTTATGAAACAATGAGTACAAATAACAACACACGTACTGTACCTTTATAGTTAACATTGTAATTAGGGGGCAATGCAAAAGTTTACATTTGATATGGATATTTGTATTTTTACATTACAAATGACAGTTTATTGCACCAATTAGCCACTCAATATCCAAACTTGATACTCGTAAGTTAAAAGATTAATTTAGATTTTTGTTTAATCTACTTTAAACAAATCATGTATTTGAAAGAAGAACGTCCGTTAGACTTATCAAGAAACCGAAAGTCTGCTATGACCAGAATAAAAGCATTTCAAGTTGTTCACTTTAGATGAATTAATTGTATTTTCCACTGACATATTTAAGCGTGTTCAGTAACTTAGAAGTGAAATAGTGTAATGCCACGTGAAGCCACATAAAGTGCTAACAGTAAATTGTTAGAAGAAAATGAAAAGGCCATCAAATAGCAGAATCCATCTGATAAACAGAACTTGTAATTTATGTATTAATTAAAAAACTATATAATGAAATGACAACAACAACAACAACAACAATAATTACACACACATTATTCTTCGAAGTGGGGGAAGGTACAATCACAGACACCTGGAAAACCCTAGTTTTTTTTTTAATTCGAGCCAGTCAAGTCTCGACCAAACGTAACTCAATTGCTGGAGGAAACAGACTGAACAGGTTTCTGTGGCTTCCTTAGGTTCTTCCAGTGGCAGGCGTGAGTTCATGAAACATAAATACATACAGTATCTCTGTACGTAAAGAAACAAAATAATCCCATGTTTCGTATGGCAGCTATTACTGTTTGTTTTTTGGCTAGTATTGCACAACGTTCAAAAGGAATCGTTCATGTCGACTTCATATGGTTAATTATTAATTTCAAAGCAAAGTTAAACATTTTGGTGTTTCAAAGTTTTTTTTCTGTAGACTCCACTCTTTGAACCTTAAAAAGTTAGTATACACGTCATTTATTAACTTGTGCATCAGAAGATTACGTCGACCTAACATATGTAGTCAGCCGTTTAGTTTAAAGGTGAAGATAAATCTTTACTTTGCCTTTCTTAAATACGACTGTGAAGTGCGCAAAGTCTTAAAATAAAGCTGTCATTGGAAATGGGAAAATATGTATAAAATGGTATGCATCGCCTTTATTTCGTAAACAGACATTTTCGATTTGAGTCTGCTTATTTGACGATCGTGTGCATAAAGTTTTAAAAATAATTTCCTGAGTAATTTAAATACAATTTAAAGGAATCGATGTGTTAGCTGCATTAAATAATATTGTTTTTGTTTGATCAAAGTGTTATCAAATACACAGTGTCTATTTGTGAATAGTGTATTTGTAATACACCAATGATATTTTGCTTCATTGGTGTTTTGCATATATTTTTAAAATATTATTAGGCCTATTAGTAATTTAGATGTTGTCTTTACAGACCCTATATGAAAGGTATGTGGGAACGTTTAAACAATATGAAACAATACCTAACACCACGAAGACAATTTCAGTGCAAGATTATAAACTATAAGAAAGTTAACATCTTAATAATATAATGTTTTTTTTTCCTCGAAAAATCTTTATGCTTTTATCTTATATACTACATACGTACTGTTACTTCCTGTCCAGTAACTTGAGTGAGATTGAATGAAGAATAAGTGTGCATGGAATTTGAGGGAAAGGTGTAATGGGCTTTGTTTTGCATGCATACATCGCTGTTCATACAGTATCCTGTGAATTTCACATTTGTATGACAGGTAAGTTTCTAGTCTTTAGAAAAGTGATCATCATAACCGTTCAAAAGACAACTAATCTAAGAAACTAACGAGAAGGCTAGTGTATTACCTAAATGTATAAAAAAATACTTGATTGCCTGATGACTTATTACTGATTACTGTATTCAGCAAAATGATCATTAACATGCTATTGTAACTTTAATCTATAGTAGAATAGTTTAGGCAGCTAAAATAAAGTTTATTTTAAAAAATGGTTCATATGATGAAGAGTATCTTTCCATTATATAAAAACAGATATTGACATTTCAAGAAGATGAAGATGATTTCTAAAAGATACTTTGCAAAGGAATGAAAATTGGTGCAGTTTTCTATAGAGATGCTCACAAAGTGATGATAAAGATGACCTTGATTGAGATTTTACTTGGTGAATAAGATCCACTTTAAAGTAAAAAAGGACAGATGTTGTATAAGAATAATTGGTATACTACAGTATATTCACAAGTACTGTAACTTCTAAATTATCCAAAAATATTGTTCACTTACAAGTTAAAATTGTACAAGCACTTCTGGAAAATAATGCTTCAAAGAAAATGATAACATTATTTTCTTTAACATGCTCAAATTATAGAACAAAGATCAATGTATTAACTCTGGTGATTTTGACAAAAAAGATTTTCTACCAAGCTATCTAAATGGATGTTTTCATAACCAAGTGTTTGCTTTAAGGGGACTGTGCAAATGACGATAATGCTGTACAGTAATAGCTTTTCTTATTAATTGAGATTGTTTTTCTATTTATGAAGATACTGTATTTACAGTTACCAATACTTAAATACAAATTGAGCTATTGGACCTACTATTTTTTTATTGTCTTCACATAAACCTTTAACATATTTAACAAGATGCAGTGGAGAATACCATGGCAAGTTGAATTTTACATCATTATGCAGTGTTCATTATGCATTCACTGTTATTTAGGTTGTACTGGCCTGAATTTGTCTAACTATACTACTGGATGCTCGTTTTACTTGTGCTTTCTTTAGCTATTGATACATAGAACTGTCCTAAAAGATTCCTCTCCTGATCAGTCCGCTCTCATATTGTGTGTACAGTAGTTTGGATATTATACCAGAATGCTT